CAACTGCCTGGTTTAAATTTGTATTTTAAAGTGCTTGTCCTCCTTCCTCTGACACAAATTAGATAGAACAATGTTTTAGTCAAGTTCCGGACAAGAAATAAAACTCCTCTGGAGGATGTCATGTGAATGTCTGGAGTGTAGACTTCCAGATGTAGGAAGGAGGAGTTGGCTTTAAGAAGGACTTGCTCTTCCTGGTGCTAGAGGAGAAAAGAAGAAAGAGACCATTTTGTCTCAGTCAGACTTAAGAGTTTAGGAGACAAAGAATATTTTTAAGGAGGAATAGTCTCTTGGGAAGTCTCAGTCTAGGAATCAGCTTCCAGCCAAAAGGAATTGCATCTGTGCATTAATTGTCTTCTTATGTTTCAGTTCAATATGCCGATTTGTAGTGAATGAAGTGTCCAACACTTGCACGTTCTGCAGTGACCTCTCTCCAGGTTCGAAGTCAACTTATGCAAGCTTTGACATACTCATTGACCTCACAGATCACACAGGCACTCTTTACTCTTGCTACCTGTCTGACTGTGTAGCTGAGGAAACATTAGGCTGCACAGTAAGTAGAAATGAATTAGGTTGTTCTTATTTCATCTGCTGTGAAGCCTGATGGAAATTACAAATATATGTAAATGTTCTTTGTATACTTGTGTGTGTACACACTGGCAACATAAAGTTGTGTGTGTACATATGGACATGTACATCCACGGATGGCTTTTTAACAAGTCAAAAGTTAGAAATCAGGAGCTGCTAATAAGAAGAAATGTGTTACCTGTAGGAGTGAATATCCTGCTCAGAATGGTGCTTCATCTTAATTCATTCACGCTTGTCAAACAACATGGTTGGAATTCCCCAACTTTGATTCTCAAACACCCTGCAATTTACTCTGCTTAATCTGGCTGTCTTGGTACATTTATCACACCAAAAAAATATGTTAAAATAGAAAGATACAGCTTAGAAAAGTATAAAAGTGTGATGTGTAAGATGTTCTTTTTCATTATAATTTGTTGTGGAGATGTTACAACTGGATGCTGCAAAAGTGTTCTATGATGTCCTGTTATTAACAGGTCCGTGAGTTCCTCACTCTAACAGAAGACAAGATGACTGCATTGAAATGGCAGCTTCTTTTGGAACGAAGCAAGATTTATTTTAAAGTGAGTATTTAATGCTCATTTAACCAGGGGCTGTTTCCCAGTCAGTAGTGTATCTAACACTGAAAAATCCCACGTCAATTCTGCTGAACTTTGAAAAATTAGGATTAGTTTTTCTATGTATTCTGACTATTCCAAGTACACAGGGTGTCCCTGAAGGATCAGATCTTTTGGGCAAACTATGAGAGACACAAACTGCTCTTGGCCAAAACTGATTAAGGAGATGGTAGTTCAAAAACACATACATGTGATTTACTTAGTCACTGACTTGGCTGTAGGTTTAGAATGAATAAGTTAAGAGCAGCTTTTGGCAAGAATAAGATGCAGTCACTATATGTAACAGATTGTGTGGTATATGGGGTTACCAAAGTATATTTCTCTATTACCTGTATTTTTTTGAAATAGTCTGATTAGGTAGATCTAAGATCTGCAATTCTCCTTAAAGCAAAACCAGTACTAGATTCACACAGCTGGACCAATTTTTAAAATATCTGCTATTATTTGCAAAATCTTTTACTTTAATTGCATGCATGTGGACTGGATTCCTTTTTCATAGAACTGCCTGTTTTAGGACAGCCCTAAACTGACTCCTTTTTTTCAAACTTGCCCTGCTTAGCAAAACTCTTCTTACTTCCCCACTCTCTGCCCCTGTTTCCAGGAAAAAATGCAAGTGTTTTACTTCAATAGTGACAGGTATATGGCATAAAATGTGTGTACTCATGCATGAAACAATGTAAAACATTAAACCTGCTGTGTGGTATTTGAAAATGACGTGTTTCAAAGTGCCATACAGCAGTGAAAACAAAGACCCTTCTTTATTTTTGCAGGTCACTTCATCACCCAGCTGGAGAAATGGACTGAAAGTGAATGTTCTTTCATGTAAACCGGCAGACCCCATAGAGGCCAGCCAGAGCTTGTTGGGGAAAGAGGCAGGAAAGAAGACATTACACTATTAAGAACTATTAATTAACTATTAATACCAGCTAGGAAAAAGACTTTCTTCACTGTGTTATTAGAGGTAGAATGTTGTTGTATTTTTGCTGATGATGTTCTGATGATAAAGAAGGAATATGCATCCCTAATCCCTGTAAGTGGGCTTCTGTGTTTATCTTTTTGAGCTGATTGTACTTTTTAAAAAGTGTATGAGGGCCTCAGCTTAAGTCAGTTCTGTGGAATTCAACCCCTTACAAGGGGATGGAAACTTTCTTCACTCAATTTAGAATATATTTTTAAAAATATCAGAAAGAATAAGTAGTGCAAGACAGATCTGTTGAGCTTCTGTGTTTTTAACTGCCTTGCTACTTTTGTGTTCAAAAAATAAAGACTGACTTTGAAACACTGCCTGGGTTTGGGGTGCATGTTGGTGAGTCCAAACACAGAACTTTTGGCAACTGCAGGGGCTTGGAAACAGCCACCAGGTTTGCAAGGCTGCTGTTCTCCAGGGCAGACTAAGTAGTACAAGAAGGGAGCCATCAATTACCAGGGACCTCTGACAAACAAACAATCAAGCTAAGACTGTGAGTAGCAGAGAAGAAAGGACTCTTCACCCAAACAGTTGTTCTTGGCTGAACATAGAGAACCCAGGTATGTGTATTTTCCTTTTCTCCAGGTATTTTCTCCATGTTTTTAATCTGTTTCTGTCCTTAGCTTCCCCTGCAGCTGCTGTATTTGCTACATCCATACTCAGAAGCCCTCAGCTTCTGAGCGTATCAGGAGTTGGTGGGGAGGCACCATGGCCCCTCTCCTGCAAAGTATTTGTCAGGCTGGAATACCCTGAGGAGCCCTGATCACCCCAGTGTCCTAACTACCCCTCACAGCAATGTGGCAGAGAGAAAACCACTACAGAAGCAGTGCCCTGACATGCAAACCACCAAGATTGCATCCTCCTCTTCATGTGAGTGGGAACAAGTGAGTGCCCTAAAAAACGTTGCCAGTGTTGGGTCCCTGCATCTCCCCTGCTGCACCAACAAACCACTCCATCACTTTCCTGCTCTGGTAGTTAATATTCTGAAGGATTTCCTCTCCTTTTAACCACAGCTCAGAACCCAGGCACAGTGCTGAGGAGCACACTTCAAACGGGCCACTGCTGCTGTTGCCGTAGATGGGAATGTTTGACAGGCACAGAGAAATGGAAGCAGTGAATTTAATCCTTCCTCTTTCAGCATTGCTGGCCCTAACTTCCCTGCTGGGCCCAGCTCTGCTGCCCTGACTTCTCTGCTTGGCCCAGACCATGGTGCTGCAGCAGATTCAGCACCTGGCTCCCTGCGGACAGGGACGGGCTGAAACCAAGGAGCTTTCCGACTCCTATGAGCTGGGGGTTGGTTCTGTTCAGATCTCATGGCTGAATGTTTGTTTCAGTTGGCCTCAGCCTTCCTTTAGACGACCTCTGACTTATCTCCACAGCATTTAGGCTTCATCATACCAAGAACTTTCAGGTGTGCTTTAAGGCTTTGACTTGAATCAAAACACAGTGCAGTGAAATGTCTCTCGGCAGGAGGTGCCCGGGGCAGGTGCTGTGCAGGTGTGCAGTGTGTGCTGCAGATGCACGCAGCTGGAGGAGCAAGTGGGTAGAAAAACACCTCTCTTTCTTCTGCAACATGTCTTGTTTTCTTTTCACCATGTGATTTGCACGTTCCTGGATCACTCTGCCCTTTCACAGAGGTGCTTGTCTTTGTAATTTTCTCTGCACAGCTCTCCAAACACACTAATAAAATGAAGTGGCCAGTAAGATCTGGGTCCAGTAACTGGAAGCATTTAACTTTGTTGCATGCACGTATGTGAAAAAAGACCCAAAACATCTGTTTTTGTTAGAAATTATTCAGCTCTCTGCAACCTTTGAAAATGCTAAGTTTTGATGTCGGGCAGGAAGGGGTTTTTTAATTATATTTTACAACTTTGTCACTAATTGAATTGAAAAGAGATCTTGCTGTCATGCAAACTGAGAGAGAGTGTTAGATCAGCTGGAGTTGGAAACGGGAAAAGTGACACAGCATGACTTTTTAACAGCTGGAAAGAGTTTAAAACTCCAACTGTTGCTCTGCATTAAGTGATGGCAATTGCTGCAGTTAGATTTTTATTAAAAATGTATTTAAATCAGTACAAGTAAAGACAGGTTTACTGGTGATTTTTACCAATGAGCTTCTTTATTCTTGATCTTTTATTTTACTTTTAGAAGCCTATTTAAAACTGAGTTTAGGAAAAAAAATACTGCTCTGTCAAGCATCTGGCACACTTCCTGCTGCATCACAGCCCTTGGCGTGGGAGGGACAGCAATCCTGGTTTAACTTGTACATGTGAAAAATGCACAGAGGAATCGTGAAACTAATCAACAAAGAAAACATCTTTTTATTGTATAATACCCCAAGGAGAGGAATTCTTTCTGAACTCTTTTCTGTAACTCTTGCCTTAGTGTTACACATTCATCTTTCATTGTACAGAGCTTGGGTGAGCTCCTACACCACCGTTTTAATGCTTTCATTTTGATTTTAAGGCAACACACTGACACAGCTCAAAGAATCAGCAGACCAGAAGAGCACCCAAAGTGACAGCCCAGCTCCCCTCCCCAGCTGTCCAGCACGGTGTCTCCATCAACAGTTCCAAGGTACAGTTTGGATATTAACCCTCTGCCTCCAGGTGGGTTGGACTCCAGGTTCACAGCCTCAGAGGAAAGGTAAGGACCCTTGGAATGAGGGCTGGATTAATCAAATGCCTTCTGAGCTCATGGGTTTCATGTCTTTGATGTGTGACAGTCCGCTAGACACGTGGGCCATGTCAGTGTTTAATGTACAGCTTGTGTATGTCTTTCCTCACCAGATGTTCCCAGAAGAGCCTCCTCCCAGGTCCTGGCCCACCTCCCAGTTAGGATCCTCGTGTTTGCTGGGCCACCTTGAACTTCATGGAGAGGATGTCACTTATCCCAGCCTCTATCTCATCATTGGCCTGCACAGACCCGACTCCTTCAGGGGTCCCTGTCAGAATCAAGTCCCCTTCCTCCAGGGTGACTATTTCGCTGATGTAGCTGATCAGGTAAGGGATGGAGAAGATCATGCACGACGTATCCCCTTCCTGCCTCATCTCCCCATTCACCTTGAGCCAGATCTTCAGCTTGTGAGGGTCCGGGATCTTCTCCTTGGGCACGAAATCACTGACAGGGCAGGACGACCTGAAGGCTTTGGCCAAGGTCCAGGGCAGCCCTTTCTCTTGGCACTCCCTCTGAGCATCCCGGGCCGTCATGTCGAGGCAGAGGGCATAACCAGCGACGTGCCCCATGGCCGCGTCCCTGGGCACGGCCCGGGCCCGGCTCCCCAGCACCACCCCCAGCTCCACCTCGTGCTGCAGGTCGCGGCAGTAGTAGGGCCGCAGGACGGGCGAGCCCTCCCGCACGTAGGCCGAGGAAGGCTTGAGGAAGAAGAGGGGCTGTGCGGGCAGGGCGCTGCCCAGCTCCCTGGCGTGCCCCGCGTAGTTCCGCCCCACGCACACGATGGTCTTGCCCCACTCCCAGAAGCGGGACAGCGGTTTGGAAAAGGAGGAGGAGGAGGCCATGGCTGCGCTGGGCCGGCCTTACCGGGCCCTTCCTGCCCCGCTCGGCCTCCGCCTCCTGACGCC